CAGATTCATGCCCTGACTTGTACAGCTAAATTGCTTGCCGGAAAAAACACCTTTTCCCTCACACCAGTAAGGGCTGACCTAGGACTAGCAGCGGGGTGCTGAAGTATTCTGTGCAGGGAGGAAAAATTAGAAGAGCTCATGACCTCACCTTACCTCCTGATCTGTGATTCACTGTGAGGACTTAACGATACTGATCTCTCTCGCACGTTTGTCAGATTTTAAGTCACGCACATCCAAGTTGCACATCAAGCTTGAAAATGCAACGTACACGATTACAAAACAAACTTCCCTCTCAAAATCCACCCGACAGCCTTCCCACGCTGCTTTGAAAGAACCTGCCACCGTTTGGGCTGGAAATGAGCTGACATCCTAGACTACCATGGGACCAATATCACCGCTGGTTTCCGCACTGCAACCTCTTTAATCGATTTCATTTTTTCTCTTCATCTTATAGTTGCAAGCTTTTCAGAAATGTTCCCTTTTGTGCTGCTTCTATACAGGACTAAGTACAGTAAGGTCCCGGTTGTTTATTGGGGCCTCACAGCACTACAGAGAAATAATGATTAAATAAAGCGGTTTGGGGGTAAACAGCTGGCTGTCGCTTGGTGACAGATTAATCCTTAGGCACTTCAAACTTTGTGCTTCGCTATGATATAAAAGTAAAGCATTGCAGATTGCCCAACTACAGCTGTCACGGAGAGAACGTGCTGTGCTTATGTGGCTGGCCTCAGGGCACCTCCACAAAATCAGTGCAAAATCTGGCACGGCAACCAGCTGGAAGACTCCGTAGCTTAGAGCTAAGGTTTGGTTTGCAAAGAAGAGAATAGCACTAACTTTCTAATCCTGTGTAATTCTATAACAACAACAGATTTCCTATTGAATGAGTTGCAGGCAGATGGCTGTCATGCAGCCTTATGCATTTGTCTGGCCAAGTGTACAAGACCCTGAGGTTTTATCAGGGAATGCAAGGAGCAGCACCTTGGAGATGTTCCAGATGAAGGCAATACTGCCCAGATATGAAAAGAAAGTGAAAAGCAGAAAAGGAGAAGCACTGAGATGCGTATGTTCTTCAGCTTCCTTTTCTAAAACCTAGAGTTCAGCAGAGCCAGCTCTGTGTCAGCAGACTCATAGCTCAGTCAGTGTTTCCTCTGAAACCAGCGTTGCAGACCACTTTCACGTTTGCTTTAGGTCCTGCTTCATTGGGTTATAACTGCATTATCCTACAGCCTATTGCAGTTGCTCTGTTTTTGCCTATTTTATTTGGACTCCTGTTGGTAATCGTTTATTCCAAGTGGGACTCCCAGTTCATTTATCACTGTCATGATGTTACAGCAGCCACACTTCTTTCCCTCCCTCAAATAAAAGCTTTTTGGCAGCTGTGTCTCCCTCCAGAAATGCAAAGTTTCAGGTTGCCTGCTGCTTTTCAGATTTCTCAGGACTCTGTGTGGACTATGAGCAGAAATGTCAGGACAGAAAATCAAGTAGTTCCTCCTTATTATAAGCCAAAACTATCCTTCCTGTATTAGCTTATTGGTGCTGCACTGGGAATCCTAAAATCAAAAGTGTGTAGGCACAAGTGTGCCAAGTGAGAGATGAAATTCATACTGAATTTCAAGTCCCAACCAAAAGCTGTGTTGGCCTCTCTTCCTTACAGATAAAGAAGCACGGGAAGAGGATGTCTGCCTGAGAAACTGCAGAGACCCGTGTCCTGCGTTTACTGGCAGAACCATTGTGAGAAAGGAAATAGTCCTCCAAACCTCTTTCACAACATGCCTTAAATAAGTCCTGGACACTAGTTGTTACATCAGTTCATTATAAATTGGCCTATATAAGGGAGCAAAGGTCAGCCTAGGACAGGTGGACAGTCTAACGTCCAGCACAGCCTGTATTATTCAGGAAGATTCATTAAACTGAGCACCTTCTCTTAAAGAAGAGGAATTTCTCTAAAGCCTACCAAACGCTGTGGTTGCAGCGTTGAAGAGGATGGTCGATATGACCTCCCTACGGGGGCTAGGGCTTTGTCGTTCCTGTGAAGTAAAAGAGAGGTAACGCTCAACTAAAGATGATGTAGAAGACCCACCTCTACCCCAGTGCTCAAGCTCAAGCCACTAGGAGGGAAGCAATCCTCTTGCCATCCATATTCCATGGCGTATCCTTGGCTCGCCTCCATGGCACAGCCTGCTTGGAGAGCTCTCCTCCTGTCAGGGCTTTCCTGGGACTCATCTAACTCCTGTTGCATAAACTCTGGAAGCATGTTTATAAGAGAGGATTAATTTAGGCACAGAACCTTCTCCACCCTCGACAGCAAAGGCTCAAAAGGACCTTTTTCTATTTCCAGGTGAACAATAAACCTAGAGACTCACAGCTCAAAGTTTACGTAGCAGTGAAGTTTGGGTGGCCACTGTTGTTGAGATCGCAGTGACTGCAATCATTCCTCTTTGTTTTTCATCCCTGCCAGACTCCCAACATCACATCTGCGGGACTCTGAAACTGGAGCTGCAGAAGGTCTCCTGCATCTATACTCTTGATGCACACCACAGCCTCCTTCCCTGGGCTGCTCTGTACCG